AAGGCAGTCGCTTAACCGACTGAGCCACCCAGGTGCCCGGGAGCAGAGAATTTGAAACAAACCGGCTTTAGCTCTGGTGCTAACGCACCTTCCATTGTTGACGTCCGTGTCATGGGGCTACAGTGGTGGTCGTTTTGTCTGCAGTGTCTGTGCTAGTTTGATGCTTCAGCATATGAATCACAAAGGCTAGAGGGAAAGTTCAAGAATAAACAGGGTTTTTCAGTCTCTTCCATTGTATGGGAACAAAATCATTCATTCTTTAAACGCTGTTATAAGGGAACTTACGAGGGTTTATGAGGGTTTGGGGGTTGGTTTGTTTACAATGGGTTATCTAGACAGCTGTTTTCCATTCAGATACTTCCCTCCCTGTAACCCATAGGATGAGGCCGGCCTCTGGGTGAGCCTGTTTATCTCAGTTCTTAATTACGGACAGCTTGCCTTCTAGGGCTGTATCAGATCTGTAACGCGTTCCATGGAAATAAGCACAGTCTGAACCCCCGGAGGGCTCCGTCTTTCTCCCTGATCTGGTTGCTGGCATTCTGGGCGTCTAACAGAAAGAACACCGTGTCTACTGCAGAGGGCAGTTGAACTCTTTGAGCTTTTTATTGAGAAAACAGAATTTGCCCATAAAAAAGGGTGGCAGGGGCGGGAGTCGTGTGTTGAGCAGAAGCTGAATTTGTATTCGGGGGACCACAAGCGCATCGCTCACCAGTTGGATTCTCCAGTTTGGGTTCTTCTGTGCGCGGCACGGGAGGTGAGATAGCACACCCAGACTGGGGCTGGGGGAGGCACGAAATGAAACCGTCCAGAGCACACTTTGCAGAGCATGTGCTGTACCTGTAGCATTCGCTGTAATCCGAAGATGCGGATGCCTAGGAAGGGACGATAATATGGTTCGGGAAGGTTAAAGTACACTGTGTGCTGCTCAGTACTATACATTTCTATCCCCTGCTTGTGATTCCTTTTGTCGGATTAGATAAAAATAAATGTGTAGACTTTAAAATTGGCAGTTAAATCTCTGGTACCTGTGTGCTTAAAAGAATGTCGCACTGTTCCCTGTATGTTCCCCAAAATACTAGTATTTTTGAAGACAAGCTCTAACTCTAGGTGAAGATCGATAAGGCAGGAGGTGGTTATATTTTCAGAAGGGTTTCTGAAGTATACGATGTAATGCTACTTGAAATGTGCTTAAACCATTACCATAGTTCATGATATATTAACTGGGGGCTTAGATGAGAGACATTTATCTTCTCACAGTTCTGGAGGCCAGAAGTCCAAGATCAAGGTGTCAGCAGGGTTGGTTTCTCCTGAGGCCTGCAGATGGCCGCCTCCTCACGGTGTCCTCACCTGATCTGTCCTCTGTGCACGGGCAACCTTGGTGTCTCTCTCTGTGTGCAGAGCTCCTCTTCTTACAAGGACACCGGTCAGATAGGATCAGGGCCCACCCCGATGGCCTCAGGTTAACTTAATTTCCTCTTTAAAGGTCCTGTCTCCAAATACAGTCACATTCTGAGGTGCTGGGGGTCAGGACATCAGCAGATGAATTTTGGGGCTGGGGGTACAATTCAGCCATTAACATGCAACAAAGAACATTATTTACTTGAAGAAAAATAACAGATGGCGTGAATGAGTGGGTCTAGAAATCACCTCAAGCAACCGGCCCCATCCTCACCCAGCGCCCTCAGATATGGGTGTGATATAGTGAGAAAAACACAGGTTTTGGAGCCTGGCTTCAAATGCAGCACCACCCCCTTTGGGTGAGATGCTTAATGATGCTGCAGCTGTCCCCCAGCTCGGGAGGGTGGGTGATAGTAGCCACGTGACAGGGCTGCCATGCAGAGAAGTCACATACGTATATGGTGCCGGCCCCACCCAGGCTCATGGCAACCCTCAGCACTCGCCAGCTACCAGGATTACTGTTATCAGGAGCTACGCTGAACACACCTGATTTGAATACATTTCTGTGAGATCATCTCGTCTGAGATTACGATTGGCCTAAGCATCGTAAGCCTCTAAAAAGAAGCCTCATAAATACTTCTGATAATAGTCCTTGTGATTCTACAGTTCTGCCCCGGGGTCATTTTGGGTCCCAGCCCCTTTCCTTGTAACTTTTTCTGAGCCCATGTGCAGTTGAGAAAATGCCCATAGGTCGACCTCCCTGGTGCCCTCAAGTGAAGCTGACCTGAGAATTTCTGGTAGCTTTGCAACTATGAGTCCAGTTTCTTCTAGTCAATTTTACCATCCTCTTCAATCATTAGAAATGCTCTCCTTGTTCTCTCTTCCTCTCTTCTTGACATGGAGGCAAAATTCTCATAACATAAAGTTAACCATTCTAGGTCTTCAAAAAATTAAACATATAATTACCACATGACTCAGCAATTCCACTTCTGGATAGATACCCCAAAGAATTGAAAGCAGGATTTCAAAGAGATGTGTGAACACTCATGTTCATAGCAGCATTGTTCACAGTAGCCAAACAGTGGAAGCACCGAAGCGTCTGTCCATCGACAGATGAATGGATGAACGAAATGTAGTATAAGCATGCAGTGGAATATTACTCAGCCTTGAAAAGGAAGGAGATTCTGGCTCCTGCTACAACGTGCATGAACCTTGAGGACATTATGCTAGGTGAAACAAGCCAGTCACAAAAAGACAAACACTGTGTGCTTACACTTCTGTAAGGTATCTAGCGTCATCAAATTCATAGAAACAGAAAGTAAAATGGTAGCTGCCAGATGCAGGGAGAAGGGGAAAGGGAGAGTTACTGTGGAATGGGTACAGACTTTAAAATATGCAAGATGAGAGTTCTGGAGGTTGGTTGCACAACAGTGTGAATGCACTGAACCCTACTGAACTATAATCACCCAAAACTAATGAAACATTGTGTGCTCAAATAAAAACAATGTTCTTAATGGTTAAAATGGTAACTTTATTTTACCACAACTAAAAATTGATTTTCAGAATAAAATGATCATTATTAAATACCTTTTTAAATTAACTATTTTAAAGAGAACAAGTCAGTGACATGTAGAGCGTTCACAGTGTGGCCAGACCCGCACTTCTCTCTAGTTCTGGAACATTTTATCACCTGGTTCTCTTTCTTTTGCTACATTATCCCCTGGTGGTTTCTCCAGCTGGTAGTTTGATTAGCGGGGTTGAAACAAGAAAGTCTTACAGGATCTTTTCCTCCCCTGGTTGGCTTGCTCTGCTTGATCCCAGGACCCGTGGCTGTACCGCCTCGGCCTCCTGCCACGTTGGCATCCCCAGCCTGCTCCTCTCCTGAGCTCAGGTGGCCACCTTGGTCTCTCTACTTGGGTTCTCCAAGGATTTCAAAATCAGCCTGATGCCTATCCCCCCAAGCAAGCCCAGCCAACCTGTCGTATCTCCCTGCAAAGCCATCACATCCATTCAGTTCTGGAAGTTAGAAACCTCGAGTTCATTCTTGACATGCTTCCCCACTCTTATCAGTCCATCAGCAATTTCTGTGCTTTTTGCTTCCACAGTGTTCTTCCAGTTCTTCTGCTCGTTCACCACCACCCTCGTTCAGTCTGCTGTCCTCCCTTCCCTGCTGGGCCTGCAGCCTCAGGCTGTCCCTGGACCCCTGACATCTGCTACTTCCCCACTCACATTTCCCACAGTGTGACTAACTTTTTTTTTTCTTTTTTTTAAGATTTTATTTATTTATTTGAGAGAGAGAGCATGAGAGGGGTGAGGGTCAGAGGGAGAAGCAGACTCCCTGCCAAGCAGGGAGCCCGATGCAGGACTCGATCTGAGGACTCCAGGATCAGGACCTGAGCCGAAGGCAGTCGCTTAACCAACTGAGCCACCCAGGCGCCCCCACAGTGTGACTAACTTGTTACAACTCTGATTATGACCTTCTGCCATCTTCCTACGCCTGGCTTTTGTTATAGGTTGAATTGTGCCCCCAAAAAGGACATGTTCAGATCCTCACCCCTGGTACTTACGAATGGGGGCCTTGGTACAGGGTGGGCCCTTAATCCGATATGACTGGTATCCTTATAAAGAGAGACACAGACACACAGGGAGAAGGCGATGTGAAGACAGGCAGAGATTGGAGCCAAACAGCTGTAAGCCAAGGATCGCTGGTGACCATCAGAAGACAGGAGAGAAGCTTTCTCCCTCAGAACCTCCAGTAGAAACCAACCTTGCTGCCCCTTAATCTTTGCCTCCAGAACTGTGAGGAAATATGTTTCTGTTGTCTTAGCCACACACACACACATCCCTCCCCCTAGCTTGTGGTATTTTGTTATGGCGGCCCTAGGAAACTCACACACTTACAGACCTTGTGCTGGCCTTTTCTGCTTCTGGGCAAAGACCAAACCAGACCTGTCACCGCTTGGGGTTCCCTGTGTAGCATGCTCCCCACACCCTCTGGCCTGCTCTCCCTTGCCCTCTGCATTCCAGTGATATTGGGCATCTTGTAGTCGCTCAAGCAAACACACTGGGCTTCCTCCAGCCCTAGAGCCTGCCCATTGCCCACTCTGCCCAGCATGCTTACTCCAGCCCCTTTAACTAGTGACCCCCTGCAGATCTCCACTGGAGGGAGGGCCCTTCCTCAGGACAACCCTCCCCCTGCCCGGACCAGGCGCCATCCTGGGGACCCACCGTCCTCCACAGCCCGGGGTGCCTTCTAGTGACACACTTTCCAACAGGGTCATTGGACTCACAGCCGGGGCTTCAGGAGCCAGGGGTCCGACAGGTTTGCTGGCCACGGTGTCTCTAACTTCCAGCAGTGCCAGGGCTGAAGGAATGAGGGAGGGAGAATTTCATTAGCATAAACTAGAATGTTTGCAATGCTACAGAAGAAAGGTGTCCTGTAAGAAAGGGCTGTAGTTGTTAAAATGCAGAATCCTCATTGCTCCCTCTCACAGCCATGTGTGGTTGGATTTTGCATCTCAGCCCTAATGGGGCAGGAGGGGAGCTGAGGGTTTAGCACTAATCCCACTTTGTATATGTGCTGCCGAAGCGAGCACGCACTAATCCCACTTTGTAATTTTCAAGGTTTCCTTTAGGTAAATATCTTTCTGTTGTACCTAAGTGATATCATCTGCTTGTTGCACTCTGTCCTTCCCATCTTTTCTTACAGGATGGGGGATTAAAGCATGACCCTGGCCTGCCCTCTGTAGGGATTTAGCCAAAGCTCTAGTGGCGTGGGTTGTTTTATTTTGTTTTGTTTTTTACCTTTCGCTCTTGTTTTCCATGAGAAGCTGCGATACGTATCCCTGCTCCGAACAAAGAAGCCTATCAGCTGATGGCCAAGTTTGTCTCTGTATTTTCAGGTTCACTACAATGTTGGCAAGAACCTGGCCGATAAAGGCAGTCAGACAGCCGCCATCAGATATTACCGGGAAGCTGTGAGGTACTGCAAGCGTCTTGTCTCATTCATATCCATGTCTTGTTTTAACTGTCGAGGATTAAAAAAAAGACCCCAACTTTAAGATATCTTTGCCAATTCCTGACAGTTTAGTGAAGACCACTGAGCGTGAACAGACGGTTTGGTTTCTCTCTCCGCTTGCAGACTAAATCCCAAGTATGTTCATGCCATGAATAATCTTGGAAACATCTTAAAAGAGAGGAATGAGCTACAGGAAGCGGAAGAGCTGCTCTCGTTAGCTGTACAAATACAGTAAGCATGGGTTTGTAGAATTACGCCAGTGGCAAAGAGAGGAGCTCCGGCATTCTGGGGTCTGAGCCTTTCTTTTCCTTGTTTCTCTTTTTAAAAAATGCTCTTCCAGGCCAGACTTTGCTGCCGCGTGGATGAATTTAGGCATAGTTCAGAACAGCCTGAAACGGTTTGAAGCTGCTGAGCAGAGTTACCGGACAGCAATCAAACACAGAAGGAAGTACCCAGACTGTTACTACAACCTCGGGCGGCTGGTAAGTGTAAAGTATCCAGAGGCTACAGAAGAAAAGCTTGGTTTTTCCCTTTTTATAATAAAATGGTAGAAGCACCACTCATGCCAGCACCCTGCACCTTGTAAAGTTCTTTCGCATATGCTCCTCGCTTGAAGGTAGCTGTTTGATTTCCTCGCCTGTAACTTTTTAAGCTCCAAGTAGAGAGCAATTCAACTTGAATTAGCCAAGTGTAAGTTCTCTCCGAGGCCACAGGTTAAACCAAGGAATAAATTCGAATTCTTTAAGTCCCTTGTGCTCTGTAAAACAGTACTCTGAGGGTCACTTCCTGATAAACATCAGTTTCTCTGTTTCAAAAACACGAATAAAAGCTGAGATAAAAAAACAAATCCATAATATGGTTTCTGAGCTTCCATCTTCCTCCTCCAAAGACCGCTCCCTGCATCCCCAGACGTTTGTACTAACTGTTCTTTCTGTAACAGAAGGCTCGGGGGGATTTATTTGAAACCGCTTTGAGATTGTCCAATGGAAATAGGAAAGAGTGTGTTCCATAGTGACTCTCTTTTCTTAGGTACTGACTAAAGATCTAATTGCTCTTGATTTTCTTTTCTTATACTTTATTTCTTTATTCAAATAAATATTGCAACAGTAGTTAATACAATAAGTTCAGTAATATTAAAATGTGAAAACATGTATTGGTAAATGATGGTGACGTGGATTCTGTCATTGCTTCTGAAAAACCTCCATGAGGATGCACAGCTCAATCCTTATAGCTCTGGATTTTCTTAATGAAGAAAAGAACCAGACACACAATGATGTGAGGTGATGGAGGCGTTAGAACTAACCTTACTGTGATATATACACAGGTATCACATCATCACGTTGTACACTTTAAACTTATGAAGGTTCTACGCCAATTATATCTCTGTAAGGCTGGGGGAAAACAGACTTACCCACAAACAGCAAAATTCCTTACATGAGAATGATTATATTCTCCCTTGAGTTAAGCCTTTAATTTGGTTTCAAGAAACTAACTACATAGGTTCCTAATATATTCAGTTTGATTAAATGAAATTGTTAAGGGAAAAGGGTTTTGCTCATTTAGCCACACTATATGTGGAATACACATATAGTGATGTGACTTTTTTTTTTTAAAGATTTTATTTATCTATTTGAGAGAGAGAATGAGAGACAGAGAGCATGAGAGGGAGGAGGGTCAGAGGGAGAAGC